AACATTTCCATGTAAATTTAGCAAAATGAAAAGTAAATGTATATGATCCTGATCATTTTCGTCTCAAAATATTCAACAATCTCGTTTAAGAATTGAAGTGTATAAATAAATTGTCTTCATTTAAACATGAGTTGAAAAACTTTTTATTGGATTTTTTTTATAATATATGTGATTTTATGAAATGAAAATTCATAATATGTGAATGTGAAAGGCATGTCAAAAAATGGAAATAAATATTGACTGGACGAGAGAAGTCGATAACCAAAACAGATGATCGATGAATATTTAGGGTGAGGGAACATAATTGGGGATCAGGACATAGGACCATATTTCTTCAATGGACCTCTGAATGGAGTAGTTTATACAGATTCACTCCGAAATAATTAATGAAATTTGTTGGGGGATGTATCGATTGATTGATTGATTGATTGCTTGGATGAGAGAAGTCAATAATCAAAACAGATTATCGATAAATGTTTAGGATGAGGGGACATAATTGGGGATCAACAAAACGTATTGAAAGAAATGGACCCATTTACCTATTTCTATCTATGGGAATATGTTGAAGAAGAGGTCTATCGAGGGAAATCAACGCCACCAGAAGACATGAATAATAGAATTAAAGAATTTTTCAAAGACCTATTGTGAATTTATGTATATTATTTTTTTTTTCATTTAGTTATTGAATGAAAAAACATATTGCTTCTATTCAATGACTTTTTAACTTTTCTCAAGAATTAGACACATTTCCGATGAAAATGAGAAGATAATATCTACATTTTCTGAAAGCTCAGTATAGACTATTCAGGGATGGTCCTATATACATAGTGTTCCATTTATCCCTGTATAGAAAAAGCGACGTTTGGTAAACTAATGAAGACGAAATGAAAATACATTATTCACAAGTATATTTAGTTGGAAAATCCACCCGAGTAGGATATATTTGATGTTTGATATTATTTATTCATTTTCAGAATGAAAATGAAATCATTCAATCATTTTCGCAGTGGAAATTGAATTATTCAGTGAAGCGGAAAATGGAAAGTAGAGAAAGTGAAAGTATTTCAACGACCTATAAAATAGCCATCTCTCGGAGGAATCAGTTCAGTCATCACCCGAAGACGATTGTAGATACCAACAATCGAAACGTCGTGAACTAACGTGACTTGGAATCTCTACACTTTTTTATTTTTTTATTATTTTCTTTTTTTATATATGAAAAGATGAAGACGAGAAAATACTGGTGATCATGACCATTTTGTTAAGTAGCGTATCCTTGTAGTCAGTTCAAATGTTATCTGAGCTGAATCATCGATTATTTAAATCAAGTTAATGAAAAAAAAATCCTAGAAAATAGCCCAAACAAATTTACACATGAATACGCATGAAATATGGGAACACTTCTCAACAGTTCAGCCTCGAGAGCAAGAACGATTCAGGACGGCTCAAGACAGTATCGGATCATGTCGCAGTCGAAACCAGAACAGAGGATTCATCAATCCGAAATTATCCTCAATAAATCAAAACGATGTATATCAACTGCGCATGATCCTGACGTCCTAGAACCTGTATTTCGTAGAACCAGAACAAACCTTCTATCTTGTGTTCGGAGAGACGTTACCCTATACTTCGTTTCATTGTTTCGATGTAGACCGACCCGCAGCTACACGGAATCCGGTATAATCCTGGCGTTGCCTAGAGATTCTCTAGAATCCTTCGCTGACCTGAGAATCTGCCTGATGCTTTTTGTTGGTCTAAATATTTGTTTCACGTCGTGTTTCACTAAGATTCTACGAATCCGGTCTGTGATATTTTCAACATAGGAAACGAAAGCTTTTCCCTTGACTGATCTAGCTTTGCTGTTCTCTATTCTGGGTCTTATGGCCCGCTTGGATTCTTTTTCGCTGTACCCATTATGTTTGAATGCATTTTTCAGGTGATTTAGTTCTTGAGGCATACCCTTAGGGTCACATATTCGTCGTGTTTTCTCCACCAATGTTTTAATCACCCCTATCTTTTGTTGGGACTCGTAGTTCGAGTTTTTTTCAGGTATCTGTCTGTGTGCGTTGGTTTTCTATACACTCGGTGCCCCAGTATACCAGTATTTATTATATTTTTACACTTTCATTTTACGCAGTAACTAATCGAGGTAAACTGAAAAGTTTGCTCTCGACAAAGATCGATAATAACTGATTTCCTTCACGAAAAATGACTTTTGTTCTAGCTATTTATCTTTGGTAATCTCTATTTTGACGGTCAAGCCTTCAAAAATATAATAGAACCAACCTAAATTTGATGGAAATTCATTATAACGTATTCAAGAAACACACCTCAATGTGAGATTTTCCATTCTCACATTGAAGTGTGTTTTTTGAAAACGATTGTATTCGGATCTATTGTATTCGAGTAATACTTCAAAGTGAGATTTTCACTAAACAGTCCACAAAACTGCTACACGTATTTGGCTATACGATAGCTTCCTCAGGCATGTTCATATTGATATGCAGAAAATCATCATTCATTGATAATGCTATGAAGACATCCGAGGAAACTATTGTTGAGTTCACTGTTCAGTGAAAATCTCACAAGTAAGTATTCCTTGAATACGTTAAGGATTTCTATCAAGTATCGGCCAATTCCATTACGGAATCTGTTGTACTGGCAAAATAGTGACTGCCAAATTCTCCAGAAACACATAAGTTCTATCTAATCTAATATTGCATTTCATATTTTTAGAATTGAAGTTGACAAATAAACTTCAGTTGATATATTTTCATCTTATCTATATTATCATGGGTTGGAATAATCACAGCATTATGACCTTCTAGATAACTTGATTCAATTTATCAATAGTCACTTCAGTGAAGTTGTTGAAAGTGAGAAAGATTGGTTTTATCTGATAGGAAGGTAGCAGGTACCTCGCCGAATATATTATATAATAACGTAATAAATTAGAGATCAGTTAAATAATATAGATGTTATATCTCTCACACAAATTTATATTACAAGTACGATTATAGAATGCTAACGCCATGAGTACAACACCAACCGCGGCAATGGAATTAATTACAGGTCTGACCCCTCTGGACCTGTACGTTAAGGAGGTTGCGTTAATGGCCATGGTACGATTGCGCACGGCAGGTGTAAACCTCGAAGTAGGAATGACTCAATTGAGGCTGAGCCTATCTATGGCAAGAAGCGTTTACTACGCAACCTCTGCTGCAGGCAACCAGTGATGCAATTGAACCCCGGCTTGTGTTTTATAAACCCTACAAAATACAAATAAAACAGAACACAGAGTCAGATGCTACAAATGCAATACGCATTTGTAGCATATACAGACGGCTCAAAAACCAAAGAAGGCTCAGGATGTGAAGTGTACTCCAGATCACTAAGTCTAAGGATTGAGTGGGGAATGGGAAGAAATACCAGCGTGGTCCAAATAGAACTGGCTGGTATCTCAATCGCCACAAAAGAAATAAACAGAAAAGGAGTTTCTGGAAAAAACATAACAATCTGCACTGACAGCAGACAAGCCCTACTAGCCTTGAACAGACAACGTGTTATCTCAGGGCTAGTACTAGAGTGGCTCTTTAGCCAAGGAAGCGGCGGGAATAAGAATCTTAGGACCCAGTGGCACCTATCGCCTGATGACTTCGACAATTGTGGAACTAGTCAACTGTTACACTCATGCTCAATCCCTAGATCCCTACCAGGATCACCCTGGGCGACCCTGGGAAGCTGGCGCCGAAGAAATATCTGGCGATGACCAGGAAAATTCTACGCTTAACAGTAGGATTTCTGACTGGCCACTGTCAACTCAGAAAACACCTCCATAATATGGGGCTAGTGGACCCACCTCTATGCAGGATGAGTGAACAGGAAGATGAGACTGTCAGGCATGTCGTATGCGAGTTCCCGGAGTTATCGTCAATAAGAGAGTTTGTGTTCGGCGAGTCTTGGCCTACACCTGCAGATGTCTCCCAGTGACCTGTCCACCTTCCTGGAAAGGACAGGATGGACGATGACCTAGGAGGACAACTCTTCGGGAGGATGTACAATGGGTCACATGTGTCATTATTATGTTGTGATGCTCTCTGACGTGACGGCGAGTGTGCAGACTATTCTGTCATGTCGGAGCGCGCTCTGACGTTATTTCGAGTCAATACAGTGGTGGCCTTTGGAGTAAACGCATGCGAGCATCTACAATGTTTTCCTTCGATTCGGATGGTGATATTGAAGAAAACCTTGCGTGTCTACTAATGTAAAGTTTACTTAAAAAGAAAAAAGAGAAAATATTGGGTTCATCCAGTAAATGCTCTGAGAGGTAGTCGAAGCGAATATCATTTACTAGTGCTGAAGAAAGATCTCATCAATATTTCAGGAGGTCAAAAAATGAATTTGAGATATTAAAAAAATGTATTTTCTAACAAGTTCAATAAGTTCGTCCGACATCTTGTGCACAATTAAATGCAAACGACTATTTTCTAGCTAGTAAACGCATCAGATTAGAAACATACTAGTGTGGAGTGTTCTGACGCGTCATAACCCCACCATCGTTCTGACGCCGATCGGTAATTGACCGGTCGCTGTCGCCATTCAAGCCTAATTATTAATTTGCAACTTGATTTTTCAAGTTTATAGAGTATTATAAGATTTTTTTTGATAGTGTGTCACGTAGTTCATAAAAAGTGTGTATGAATGTTTTGAGCCTTTTTGTAACAAAGTTGATATGTTCCGTCCATTTTAAGTGCTGATCTAGTACAACCTCATTTCCTCATATTCCACTATTTACACGTTTTCCAACATACACACAGAATTAGAGTCTAAGAACTATAATGAAGCTGAGCAGTCTTTAAGTGGTGACATGGTGGTACTGATAAGTTTTTACACGATTTTAAACTTTTCGCACGGGGTAGGCTGACGCGATCAACTAGCTTTGTAAATTCGAGGACATGGTTATCGAAGTATAATAAAAGCATTCACATTTATTTCAATCCATTCATTGTTATTCCATTGATATATAAGTGATCGCTGAATACTTCCAAAATATTCGATAAGTTATTATCAGATAACATGAAACATACGATCAAAGTTTTTGTTTTCTTGAATTTAATAACGTCTATGAGTTTAAAGAGGGCCAGTTCAGGTGAAAATGACAAATTGGTAGCAGTGTCTGTGGTGAGTACTGTTATTTTTTATTCAATTCTAGATTATGCATGATTCATACAAAAAGCTATATATTAGTCATAATGAAATAATTGAGGAAAACTCTAGATTCCTGACTGCAAAAGCTCCAAATCAAAAAACATGATTTTCGAAAATACATCAGATTCAAACATGAAAATTTGACAATTTTTTAATTTAAAATATGCAAACCCCCTGCATTTCTGGTATAACGTCTTGCAGAAAGTTCAGTGAATGGAAAAAAGTTGCTGATTTTTTTAATCCACTCAGTGCTACTGTTCAAGTACATTCGATATTGAATGATGATTTGATTGAAAGGGGTTTATTTTTAGGAGAGAAGAATTTTTGAGATAAAGGAGAGGTTTTGGCTTTCTACTTCTCTATCTTAAAAAAATGTGGGATCTCTCAAAGAAAGAAATGAAGCCACCAATTTCAAAAATTAACTCTCCACAAAGATGTGTAGATCATGCAAAGAAGTAATTTTCGGACACAATCTGCAAGAAAAAGCCCTCTTGAAACAGCTGCTTTCATACAAACATTGAATGAATTGCCGTCAAACACGATTCAAGCGGTTTCAGTACGTATTGCGGCAGATTCATTGCGGTGCTTTTTATAGAAGTAATCCGCAAATTCCTGGTAGGGTGTCTTTGTAAGAGGCATCTCCTTCCACAAATCTGGCGTTAAGTATGCATATGTCTTGGCAATTGCTGCATAAGTTGCCTTGGCAAAATCACCCAGCGTCCCAATGGAGCCTTTGGCTGATGTATAGCAGTCCTCAATACCCGCCATCTGCAATAGTTTCTTGAGAAGAGGGGCAGAAACGATACCAATACAATGGGGAGCTGGGCTGAGATGTACAGTTACAGACCCTCATTTTCCAGTGACTTTGTAAGGCACTGTGTGAGGTTGACCGATTTTGTTACCACAGTAACCTCTACGGACTGGTTCGACAGAAAGCTTGGCTAAGATGATAACTCTACGGAAATCAGTAGCAATTCCTTTGCTGCATTTCACTGCCAAACCGATGCGACCTTTACTATCACCGATAGTTACGAAAACCTTGAAACGAGTACGTTGACCAGCACGAGTCCGTTTCTGAACAGCTATAGTCTTCAAAACCTCATGATTCAGTTCTGACACAATGAAGAAAACGATGATTTCATACTCTTTGATTGGCAAAGGAAACAGATGGATCTCCTCCAAAGAGCAGATCAAACCATCTTTTACTAACCGTCCTAGCTCAGTTACAAGCACCCATTCCTTCTGGTCTTTCTTTCCGTGCCCACAGCCTTTATCGCGTTCACGTCCACGACGTCTGGGGCCCCCTCGGCCACCTCCTCTACCACCACTACCGAATCCACTACTGAAACCGCCACGATCACCAACTGGAGCTGCGTTCGCCGTTGTTCTGTTCAGTTTGTATCCCAAACATTCGTTAAAGAACTGAATCAGGATTGATACATTTACTTTATCGACTGACTGAAGTTCAAGTATTGAATGCTGTGAGTTCGTTTATAGTCTTTTGAGTATCTTTCAAATCATTGAGTAATGAAAATATTGATTTCTAACCACAATAACATTCAAATTACTTTCTGTTTGGCATGCTTTCTCGATAGGCTCTTGTAGACGAGACAAACATATTTGTTGCTGTATTTTTCGATATGTAGTACAAGATACTTCTAGTGGTGAGGAACTGAACGATTATGCACTAACAATTATTGTGAATTATTAACTGAATCAAGTCCTTTCACACGTTTCAATTGTTGATAAACAATTTTCAGATATACAGACATGGTGCTAGAGGACCATCAAGCTCATATCCCAATGACCCATACCTGGATGTGACATACTGGCCAAATGGATTGGGACAACTTGTAGATGTGAGTACTGGACGTTTTGTGAATGCTTCATCACACTTCTAATTAGAGAAAATATTTGCAATCAATTTATATAACGGAAAATATTCTGTGGAAAGTTTCTAGTTGAGAAAGATGCATAAGTCTCTATATTGAATATTCAATGTGGTTAATTTAATTATTGAAAGCGTTATTCATAATTTGATGTCTCATACCAATTTTGTTTCACTGATATAAAGTTGATAATAAAATTGAAATAATTTTCTCAGAATCTGCCGAAGAAATGATCAGTTGGAAGTTTGAACCATACTATTTATCCAATACTTGCGATCCAATCCGGCTCTGCAAGTGTGACCTCAGCTGGATCATGTTAAACTTTTTGATTTTCACCTAAAAAGGGTGCGTCCATAATTATAAAAGGTGTAAGTGCGCAGCTGAAAAGTTCTAGAACATTCTAAAACACTCGAAATTGTTGAAGAGTATTGCCCAATATTTCATAACATCCTGAAAGATTCAAGAATGTTGTGTATTATTCGTGATTGATCTGGAACATTCGGAAAACTTCCAGAACATTCCAGATTTTTGGGGAATGATCAAGAAAGGGAGTTGAAATTTTCGTCTTCATGAAATCTCTTGAAAAATTGTGACGATTCGAGAGGTTTTCGACAATATTTCAGAATTATCCTAATGTTCTGAAACATTCTAAAAGTTCGGAAATATCCTGGAACATCCCAGATCATTTTAGAACCATCAAGGGTGAAGTAGCCCTCTAACCTCCATCCAAGATTCCCATTTTTCAAATCAACTGAAGGAACAATCCATTCAGGCCAGTCTCAACTTCGTACACTGTAGGTTAATGGACTGACACCCAACAACTACTTCCTTGGCTAATACCACGAAGGACGATGGATTACATCCGATGTCAGTCCATTTACCTACAGTGTAGGGAGTTGAGACTGGCCTGAATGAATTGTTCCTTCAGATGATTCGATTTGTGGACAGTCTGTAAATAAGCCCATTGACTATATGTGAAAAGTTTGAATTGGGCAAATTTCAGATATGCGGTTGGTTACTTCGTTCACAGGCAAATGGAGCGATGACAAACCTGTTGATTGTTGTCCGCTTCAGCTTAGTTCAAGGACTGATACTCTGAAGGAATTCGATTTTCAATTATGTGAAATCATCGACTTCATGTTGATGAAAGAACACTACCTTCCACTGACGAGTGGCCAAACAGCCCGTAACCGGTCTGCAAGTGTGTTCCAATAATTGAAAATCTATTGCGGCAGCTATATCGCCAACAGCATATGCAGGAATAACTTCAGTGAAGAATCCTGCACTAACACCTGTCGGATGTAATACAACGCCCTTCGTGGTATTAGCCAGGGGAGTAGTTTTTTTCTGATAGGTGTCAGTCCAGTTACCCACAGTGTAGGGAATTGAGAGTGGGCTGAACGAATTATTCCTTCAGAAGATTGGATTTATAGCCAGTCTTCAAGTATGCCCACTCACTTTATGTGAAAAGTTCCCATTTTTACCTGGAAAATCTGCTCTTGAAGTTTCGCCCTCTAGAAAATGATAGAACAGTCTAGAACAATCAAGTGTATACTGAAGCATTCCACAACTCTCTAAAACACACTGGAACAGTCTGGAATGATGTGAAATGTTAGGAAATAATCAGGAATATTCCAGAATGTTGCGAAACAGTTCAGAATAGTCTCGAATGTTGTGTTATATTCTAAAACATTGTGAAACGTTTCCAATCACTCAATTATATACGATCATTATTTTTAACATCAAAATGGATGGATGAGTGAAATGACACTAGTATACAACTAATAATGAAGAAAGATAACTATGGAAAAAGAAAATGGAAAACCGAGTTTCCACACTCGTTTCGATCGTAAGTATCCTCAGTCTTCTTCGTCTGGTGATGAGAAATCAGTTATATTTTTTGTTATCACTGATCTCCTCATTACTCTCTTTTTCTATCTAAAATTTCAGTTTGATGAAATGAAAATACGAATTATGTATGAACACTGCGAAAGAATAACCGAAATGACATGAACTCTCTGATCATGGATTTCACTGAAAATGAATTGGGAATTTTAAGTGATCATTCAATTGTAGACTTCGATATAATAATGTGTAACTGTCATCTGACGTTGAATTATAAAACTATTAGTGAGAAGAAGAATATTCCCACTCCGAAAATTATGTAACTTTGACATGATTTTTTTATTTGATTCAACTGATTGCTGTTCAAAAAAAAAGGTTAACCTTTGGAAAAATCATAGGTGCTGCTGTTTAATCAATTACTGCTTGATTGAATGGTACTGCACAGAATCAAAAAAGTTTAAGTTTGAAAAACTCCTTTTCTGAAATATACCAAGCTCTACAATACCAATGCATCAGAACAAAATATCAATTCTCAAATGAACCTTTTTCCTGAAGTACGGAAAATCACTCACTAGCAGCGCTAATCGGTAGGGACAAACACTGCCTAATCTTCATATAAACATATGGTAAAGTGCAATTGAAAAAAAATGTTTTAACAGAAGAAGATGTTCCTGGAGCAAAACTAATATTTGCAACGGTAAAGGATAATAAACATTGAAACGTTGGCTTACATGCCGTAATTTAAAAATAACTGGAAAAAAGTGAATTAATAGACAGGTTAGTAGACAGACTCTAGTAAAAGAGTAGCTGTAGATTCAAACTGTAATAAAATTAATAAACGATTGAGGTTATATCTCATTCTAATCATTGGTAATTAACCATGAGAAATTTACTATTCATTTCATGTTTAGAGCATACATATGAATATTTATTTATTTTTTGCACTGTTAAATCCTCTCTTCTCGAAGCATGTATCCATTTATGACATCTAACCTCATCAATATGAGGTTTTATAAATGCTATAAAAACACGTTTTCTTTTCAATATCGATTATCCGAAGAACAATTCGCAAAACAGCAATGCTCTGTTGGCATTATACTAGCACAAAATAATTTTTATATCCGATTTATATTTTCAAATGATGAATTAATATTACGTAAATAACACTGTTTTACATGTGAATAGTTTATGTTTGTCCCTACTACTAGTGCTGCCTCTCGTGACACGTTCGCTGTACTATTCTCAGGAAAAAGGCACATTGAATCAATTTCGTTGATGACACATAGTTGTTGATTTCATGGCTGTCAGTTTCATTCCTGTCAATTTTATGGTTGTTCGAAGGAAGATATTTATTGTATAGAGGGTGTTCTTCGGGTATTTTGGCTGTGGTCTGCTGGTTTTTATGATTGACGTTTCTTCTACTGCTGCGGTAGACATTTTCGAAGGCGGTGTGGTAACGGTCGCAATACCCGAGCTGCTTCTTGTTCCTGTTGTATCCAACGCAATAATTACCATTTCCGTACTGAGCGCCCTATTCATATCGTTTTCGATTGTATTACTTGCTCCTGTTCGTGTACCTGTTCGTTGTGGAATTGGCCGCGGTGGTAGTGCGCCCGACTCACGATCGGAAGATCGTGGGTTCGATTCCCGCGATTCGACCAGATATTTTCTTCGAGATAATTTATCTGGTTGAAGCGGGGATGATTCTGCAACCGTGTTAGGAATCACACGTTAAAAGGTATGACCTTGTTAGTCCTTAGCTCGCACAAGTTTCTCAACTTCTGAGAGTTGTCGTTCGTATGGGGGCGACAGGCGATTAACGGAAAAACAGATTTTTTTTCAAACCTCTAAGGAAAGGTAGCCAGCTTTTATTAATATTCATTGTCTCTTCTTTTCTATTGAAATTAACTTTGAGATTCTATCGCCTCTCTATATACTATTGGGTAGTGTTTTAGGTACTGTCGAGTATTACTGTGTCTCCGAATGATATAATGTGGGTACCTTTTTTGTTGAGAGCATGTTTGGCCACAGCCGAATTGTCTGTTTGTCCGTTTGTTTAGGTTTGTTCTGGTTCTAACATCCAAAACTCTTTGGAAACTGCGCAAGACATAATGCGTACAATCAAAAAAATCTCAAACAGTCCGAAATAGTCTTGGACACTTGGTTGAACCAGAACATATTCTGAGGAGACCACTGTGCCACCTATCTTATATATGAAAAGATGAAGACGAGAAAATACTGGTGATCATGCCTATTTTGTTAAGTAGCGTATCCTTGTAGTCAGTTCAAATGTTATCTGAGCTGGATCATCGATTATTTAAATCAAGTTAATGAAAAAAAAATCCTAGAAAATAGCCCAAACAAATTTACACATGAATGCGCATGAAATATGGGAACACTTCTCAACAGTTCAGCCTCGAGAGCAAGAACGATTCAGGACGGCTCAAGACAGTATCGGATCATTTCGCAGTCGAAACCAGAACAGAGGATTCATCAATCCGAAATTATCCTCAATAAATCAAAACTATGTATATCAACTGCGCATGATCCTGACGTCCTAGAACCTGTATTTCGTAGAACCAGAACAAACCTTCTATCTTGTGTTCGGAGAGACGTTACCCTATACTTCGTTTCATTGTTTCGATGTAGACCGACCCGCAGCTACACGGAATCCGGTATAATCCTGGCGTTGCCTAGAGATTCTCTAGAATCCTTCGCTGACCTGAGAATCTGCCTGATGCTTTTTGTTGGTCTAAATATTTGTTTCACGTCGTGTTTCACTAAGATTCTACGAATCCGGTCTGTGATATTTTCAACATAGGAAACGAAAGCTTTTCCCTTGACTGATCTAGCTTTGCTGTTCTCTATTCTGGGTCTTATGGCCCGCTTGGATTCTTTTTCGCTGTACCCATTATGTTTGAATGCATTTTTCAGGTGATTTAGTTCTTGAGGCATACCCTTAGGGTCACATATTCGTCGTGTTTTCTCCACCAATGTTTTAATCACCCCTATCTTTTGTTGGGACTCGTAGTTCGAGTTTTTTTCAGGTATCTGTCTGTGTGCGTTGGTTTTCTATACACTCGGTGCCCCAGTATACCAGTATTTATTATATTTTTACACTTTCATTTTACGCAGTAACTAATCGAGGTAAACTGAAAAGTTTGCTCTCGACAAAGATCGATAATAACTGATTTCCTTCACGAAAAATGACTTTTGTTCTAGCTATTTATCTTTGGTAATCTCTATTTTGACGGTCAAGCCTTCAAAAATATAATAGAACCAACCTAAATTTGATGGAAATTCATTATAACGTATTCAAGAAACACACCTCAATGTGAGATTTTCCATTCTCACATTGAAGTGTGTTTTTTGAAAACGATTGTATTCGGATCTATTGTATTCGAGTAATACTTCAAAGTGAGATTTTCACTAAACAGTCCACAAAACTGCTACACGTATTTGGCTATACGATAGCTTCCTCAGGCATGTTCATATTGATATGCAGAAAATCATCATTCATTGATAATGCTATGAAGACATCCGAGGAAACTATTGTTGAGTTCACTGTTCAGTGAAAATCTCACAAGTAAGTATTCCTTGAATACGTTAAGGATTTCTATCAAGTATCGGCCAATTCCATTACGGAATCTGTTGTACTGGCAAAATAGTGACTGCCAAATTCTCCAGAAACACATAAGTTCTATCTAATCTAATATTGCATTTCATATTTTTAGAATTGAAGTTGACAAATAAACTTCAGTTGATATATTTTTAGCAGGTACCTCGCCGAATATATTATATAATAACGTAATAAATTAGAGATCAGTTAAATAATATAGATGTTATATCTCTCACACAAATTTATATTGCAAGTACGATTATAGAATGCTAACGCCATGAGTACAACACCAACCGCGGCAATGGAATTAATTACGGGTCTGACCCCTCTGGACCTGTACGTTAAGGAGGTTGCGTTAATGGCCTTGGTACGATTGCGCACGGCAGGTGTCAACCTCAAAGTAGGAATGACTCAATTGAGGCTGAGCCTATGGCAAGAAGCGTTTACTACGCAACCTCTGCTGCAGGCAACCGATGATGCAATTGATCCCCGGTTTGTGTTTTATAAACCCTACGAAATACAGATAAAACAGAACACAGAGTCAGATGCTACAAATGCAATACGCATTTGTAGCATATACAGACGGCTCAAAAACCGAAGAAGGCTCAGGATGTGAAGTGTATTCTAGATCACTAAGTCTAAGGATTACATGGGGAATGGAAAGAAATACCATGTGGTCCAAATAGAACTGGCTGGTATCTCAATCGCCACAAAAGAAATAACCAGGAAAGGAGTTTCTGAAAAAAAAACATAACAATCTGCACTGACAGCAGACAAGCCCTACTAGCCTTGAACAGACAACGTGTTATCTCAGGGCTAGTACTACAGTTCCATCAAGATTCAGCCAAAGCCTCGGTAGATGATAATATCATCCTAAGGTGGGTTGAAGAGCACGACAGGAGTGAAGGTGATCGCATTGCCGGCTCTTTAGCCAAGGAAGCGGCTGGAATAAGAATCTTAGGACCCAGTGGCACCTATCGCCTGATGGCTTCGACAATTGCGGAACTAGTCAAATGTTACACTCATGCTCAATCCCTAGAGAGATGAGGTGGAATCAAAGGATGCAATCTTACCAGGATCACCCTGGGCGACCCTGGGAAGCTGGCGTCGAAGAAATATCTGGCGATGACCAGGAAAAATCTACGCTTAACAGTAGGATTTCTGACTGGCCACTGTCAACTCAGGAGACACCTCCATAATATAGGGCTTGTGGACACACATCTATGCAGGATGTGTGAACAGGAAGATGAGACTGTCAGGCATGTCGTGTGCGGAGTTATTGTCAATAAGAGAGTTTGTGTTCGGCGAGTCTTGGCCTACACCTGCAGATGTCTTCCAGTGACCTGTCCACCTTCCTGGAAAGAACAGGATGGACGATGACCTAGGAGGACAACTCCTCGGAAGGATGTACAATGGGTCACATGTGGCCTAAGTGCGTGGGCTTACACTCACCCTCCCTACTCTACAGATATTCAATCAAGAATGAGTTTTGAACGAAATCATTGAACATTTCAGCATGTAAAATGAAAACACGAATGAAGTAAATGAAATATGGTTCATTTTTTGAATGAAGTTATATTATTTAATCACACGTAAATAACACGGAATATAAAATTTTGAAATGGACAGTCATGTATAAATTTTTGTATGCCCTGAAAATATTCTATCAAATACTTTTGTTCCGATTCAGAAACAAAATCATCGGTAACGTCATATCTTCATTGTGGAACATTATATATACAGTGCTCGACTGGCTAAGTGAAGAAACAGCGTAAAATTGGAGCAGGTTGCAGTCGGAGAAAATAAAAATGATACCTCTTTTTTTTTGTTCAACCTTTCCAGAGTTTATTGGCTCTTTTTTAGAACTATATTATCTAATGGAATATGATATAATAACAATTCATATTTAATTGCTCCACCTCGATGATAATAGTAGATTTTACAATCAAAGCACACAGAAAATATGCCAACCGCAGACCCGTATATCACAAAGTGCAGCTGGCATCTGTTAAATACTTCGTGCATTTGTGTTGTTTTGCAACCAACTGTTGCCTAACCTTGCCTTTGTCTATACCATACTGATGACAGCTAATGAGCCAGAATTGAGCGGTTTGTATATTTGCACTTAGGAAATATGACAACCCACAGACACATATTGACACGTGTTTCTGGCTGAGTATCTCTCATCAGTATGTTATAACCAAGTGAAAGTTTGGGCTGAGTATCTCTCATCAGTATGTTATAACCAAGTGGAACTTTGGGCAACATTTGGTTGCAAAACAATACAGTTGCACGAAGTCATCAACAGAAACTTTGTGGTTTCGGTCATATCATTTCTAGTTAACTGTGACTTAAGGTGACTCAAGTCACATCTAATGACAGCTAATGAGCTGTAACAGCACACATTAGCACAATAAGTCCATGAGTCTGCAGTGTTTTCCAGAGACTTGGGGAAAGGGGACAAGTCAAATATCTACCAAATAAAATACAAAAATGCATACACCAACGAATGTAAAATGTATATATAAAAATGTATACATTTATATATATTCATTATACAACAAAACTTTCAAAATATTCACATCACATTAGTTTCTTCTTACATTTGCTTTTTTTTTAACACATCCACCGAAAGCTTTTTCATCTTCAGCATCATCTGCTTTTCTCTCTACTCTCTACTTTCTAGCTGCAATTATAGGAGTTCAGTAATGTAAAAAAGTTGTTTCTAACTATATTTCTGTTTCAATTCCGTATTATCTTGGTGTCTGAATGATTTCAGCTAGTTTCGAGATTCGATTTTCCCATGACAATGAATTTTTACTTCACCTACTGAATTTCAATTCATTTTTTATCTGTCAGTTTGATATTCAACACTTCAGATTTCAGAGGAATATTGGATATTGGTGGAGAGTTCTCAGGTTTTTGTTGAATAATAAATCTGTAACTGATTTATTCGAACCAAAAATCGGGGTATCACGAAATATCTTGCCTGAATGTCTTAACGGATATAATTCAATATCCAGCCAGGAAAGTAGTAGTTTTCCTATAGGCATTTACCAGAACCTACGGTGTAGGTAGTTGGGAGACACAAATATTCCGAGATTTCATTTTCTTACACAATTGTATCTCTGTAATTGAAAAAATAGCATAATTTCACAACAAATCCATTTGCTATTCACAACAATTATTCTTTGTGGGATTCGTAGACTCCAGACATTCGGTCATTAGCTGTATATGAATTATTATTATATATATTCATGTCTTCATTATTCATCCAACTGACAACTTATTTCATTACAGGAAGGAAAACTAGGCCAGTTCAATCTTGGAAAATGGTTAAGAAACCGCTACTCGTCCTTTCTCTCAGAAAAATATAATGCAAGTGAACTTCTGGTTCGTTCCACCGATGTAGACAGAACCCTCATGTCTGCTGGATCGAATTTAGCAGGATTATACTATATTAATAATCCTTCACATGAATGGAAAAACGGCCTCCCTTGGGATCCTATACCCATTCATACCGTACCCGAAAATATTGATGAGGTAATATCCATGTACAGATATTGCAAAAAATTTGAACAACTATATACAGAAGCAATCAATTCCGATTTTTACAAACAACTGAGTGTGGCATATAAAAATCTTTTCGACTTGGTATCTGATAAAACTGGATGGGGTAGTGTAGATTTATCACAACTGCTCCATATTTATATTACGTTTCACATATACGAAACCCTCAATCCTTCGTACTTGCCAGACTGGGCAAATGAAATCAATGGAACCGAACTCGCTTATCTTGCAGGATTATCTTTGGCAAGGGCAACAGTCACCAAGGATTTGCAGAGATTGCAAGTTGGACCATTCAACAATTACTTGAACAACCATTTCGACGGAGTTATCGAAGGAATCTCAGCAAAGTTTTTGATGATTTCTGGACATGATGGGACGATAGCATCAATTTTGAATGCATACGGAGCTTACGATTATTTCCCCCCTGAATTTTGTTCCACTTTGATTTGGGAAATTCGAAAGAACCAGGCAGGAAACCATTATGTGAATATTTTTTATAAAAGAGATGATTCAGATAACCTGGTGCCAATAGTAGTCGATCAATGTTCCTTTGATTGTGAGTATGTTAGGTTTAAGAGTATCCTTCAACCAATCACCGTTGATTCCGCCCAATGGCTGAAAGAGTGCGAGAATGATGACAGCGATTAAATTAGAACATTCGTTGACTGCAATCTCTTTAAGAGAATTGAACTTATTCATTTCGATTTAATGATCATATATTCGTATAAGTTAGCATGGTCATCTGAGCTTACGAAAATGCCATCTATGGTAACTCAAGTGCTCATTCAACCCTACGGTGATTAGTTGCAAAACCAAGCTTTGTCAAATGAAACAATACTATCTATGAATTGATGGATGTAGTCATCACTACGTAATGAAGGGAATTGAAATTTTCTATGTTTTTTTTCACTTTTATTTGTAACTAATGTTACTGCAGTTTCGTCCTATGAGGACTTTTTGAACTTATACATTTAATGTTTGATGCAGTAACGTTAGTTACCAATAAAAGTGGTAAGAAACAGAAAGTTTCAGTTTTTTTTTCTTCACAATACTATCTGTTGGTTAAACGATTTTTCAAACAGCGTACGATGTACTCATAGAAGCCAGGATTTGCAAAAGACCGCCGTTGCCTTAAAAAGTGAGGCTGGAGTTTCCTGACGATCCCATAGATGGCAACCTCGAACGGGATGGTTATATTAACTTATATTCAGGCCTATCCAGCAATACATTCTGTGGTTGAGCCTAGAATCACTAATGAGAATTATGACAGTTTGAAACAGTGCTGCTTGATGTTGATGTTCTTCTCATTGTGAATCAGCATACATGTTCAATTATAGATTTTCAAACTGACTGTAATAAAGATTTCATGAAAAATAGTCTGAAGTTTTATTGTGTTATATAGTTTGCTTTCTGGTCAACCACGAATAGAATAGATTACTTTATTGACTACGTGATACATTTGAACAAATATTTGTAGTGAATCAAAACACACAAACATCAAACAACTAATGTTGAAAATGAGAACAATCTTTACTCACTCGAAGTTACACGAGTTATCTATGTTGCATAACATATTCGGTCGAATAGAATAAAAGTTCTATAGCACTATTTACTAAAACAACTGAATTCAAATTAATAGGTTAGGTTCTGAGAATATTATAAAACCGGGACAAAAAGTTTTTTTTTCGAGAGTCATTTTAGGGATGATGAAATATTGTTGTAAAGCTTTCACTTACTCCAGTTCTCAGAGTTTGGGTCTGGGATATTTACCTAAATCATTAAGACTGATTGGGACCATCTTCACTGTGAATCGGAACTGACCGATACTAGATGAAAATCCACTAAAATGTTATCAAAAAGAACTTTCAAATCAAATCAAAATTAGTTTTCAATAAGTTTCTCCTAGGCATGAGAGTTTTGTACTTGTATTTACATTTCATAGAATAGAAACAATATGACTACTAAGACATTATCTATGGTTATATTATCATTTAGAAAAATGTTGAACTCATAGAGGAAACAAAAAGAGGTAGTTTGATCTGAGTATATGTTTGTAGAGGAAAAGATACAAATGGTATAGAAACTGTTATTTGAAGTAGAAAATTTTATTATTCATTATTTTTTTCCATATGTGATCATTTGTTTATCAATAACAGAACCCGAATATTCAATGGTCATTCTTTTTACAATCAAAACTTTTTGTGCAGGTAATTTTCTGCAAATGAAGTCCACTAATGTGCAGCAGATTCGTATCATCAACATAACACACTATATGACAGTGAAATGCAATAGTGTGCGTCATTGCGTTCATGTGAGCAATAAAAAAGATCGGGCCAAGTACCGTTCCCTGCTGGATACCCACATTGCTATTAGATGTTGCACTGAGCTCTCTACCAGTTTCAGCAGTTTGTATTAGTTATTTTGAATAATTCTGTTTCAGTTACAAAGCATGACCTCCAATACCATAATTGCACAATTTTTTGAGTAAGGTTTAATGCGAAACAGTTTCGAAAGCGAGATTTCCCATCGCGAGTTAACAAAAACTGTAGTGTCGAAAAGATTGTAAATATTTCAGTCGATTTGTGGTTCTTGTTCTTAATTTTATATTGGTTAAACTGAAGAACTTTCTCCCAAAGAATAAAACTTCATACAAGTAGCTTTTTCAATGAAGATACCAACTCAACATTTGCGGAACTATTTTGACAGAAGGGCACGAGTTCAATCACTATTATGAATTATTGCATTTGAAAGTGCAAGGTTTGAAACTCTACCATTTAGAATGCTTAGAAATCAATAGAATCAGGAATTCGGGATCAGTGTTCAATGATCAAATAGATTTGAATCGTTTCCCTTCATTGGATTTGGTTTGCAATCAGGAGATTGGTGATCAGGATAGATCCCTATAGGGATCAATGGAAAAAAAAGTGTAGGTGGATAAACAACATATTTGGACAACTATTGATATATAGGTACGACTTTTATGTGAAAAATAGTAGAGAGTGTAACAAGGAGATGTTCTCTGGGCACTTTTTAAAAATTACCAGAAGAATATTTTAATGAAACGAAATTTCATTTCAATGGTGAATAACTATAGTATCCATTCTTTGAGTACTCTGTGTACATTTGCATGCATGTTTAAAAAATCTGTTTTTCCGTTAAAAAGCTGTTACCCCCATACGAACGACAACTCTCAGAAGTTGAGAAACTTGTGCGAGCTAAGGACTAATAAGGTCTTACCTTTTAACGTGTGATTCCTAACACGGAAAAAAAAGTCATAAGTGAGAAAGACAGAATCTAAGTAACTTTCACCTTGGCTTCGTACCTATAAAGAAGCATATAGTCCCACTTCTTTAATTATTTTTGATAAAATTCACTCGGATAAAAGTATGTCCTGATTCTGATGGCACTTTTTAAAAATTACCAGAAGAATATTTTAATGAAACGAAATTTCATTTCAATGGTGAATAACTATAGTATCCATTCTTTGAGTACTCTGTACATTTGCATGCATGTTCAAAAAATCTGTTTTTCCGTTAATCAGCTGTTGCCCCCATACGAACGACAACTCTCAGAAGTTGAGAAATTTGTGCGAGCTAAGGACTAATAAGGTCTTACCTTTTAACGTGTGATTCCTAACACGGAAAAAAAAGTCATAAGTGAGACAGACAGAATCTAAGTAACTTCCACCTTGGCTTCGTACCTATAAAGAAGCATATAGTCCCACTTCTTTAATTATTTTTGATAAAATTCACTCGGATAAAAGTATGTCCTGATTCTGAACAAACTACAATCACCTGCACAAATTTTCTCTTTGTGGAAACCTGCATAAATGTTTGTCGGAAGTAATCCAATACACGTCGTTCTATCAGTCAGGAAAGCTGTTGTTATTCAGTAGATATTCACCAAATCCTAGTATACAGAAAACCTGAGAGATGTTCTGAGCTTTCATTTGAAAATGTATTTTTTTGACGTATGTATCAGTCATTACACTGATTCGATTTCTGATATTTCACACTCAAGAATGCAAAATGAAGTGGCTCAGTTCTTATTTTTTTAAACCGTTGGGATATAAAGTACTAACTGTTACCCATTTTTCAGGATCGTGGCTTATAATTTATCCGGAAACAACTAACAGGCCATGCCTTGTCGCGTCAGATAGCCATTGTCCATTAGTGACGTCAAGTAACTGGGTTTAATTTCTACATGTCGCCATAACTCAGAGAGAAAGTCCCTTTTTTCTGCGTCATTACTTTTCTAGAATGTCGTATAGCTGTAATTTCCTAATAGATAAAACACGGGCATTAGGATAATTGGGCTAGTTTATTGGGGGAAATGGTAGTATATATTGGGTAATAATGAGAGAAGAGTTGATTATTCTATTTATAACAGACTCCTTGACATTTTTGTATAGTTGCGTTGCCGTCGTTTATGAATGTGACTTGATGAATTCAAGAATACCTCAATTTTTCTTTGAATAGTCTTGAGTTGAATGGCAAACAGCTTCATTGACGTTTCTACTGCAAGCTAAATGATCATCATCCAGCTAACAATGATAAAGTAACAAATATTTCAAATTCAGCAGTACTTCTACTAATTTTATCTTCCGCACAGTTGAAATTTCTATATATCTGATGACTATACCAGGATAATATGAAGGAAACCAATGAGCCTTTTGAATCAAAATTTTATTATTTCAACATTCACATCTTAATACTTCATCACAACGTTCTCTTCTGTCAATAACGGTAGCAGGAATCTTGGCAGATCAAATGCAGAATGCTATTATTCTCGGCTCATTTCATCTACTCAGTGCACATGATTCCTGTACCCAGTGATCACTTACCCCACGGTATGGAGAGTGTTCATTGGTTGATAATGCTGGCGTGCTCTCCCAAATGTATCGGGGCTTCGAGGACAATCTCCGATTAGCTCAACCTTCGTGAGAAATAATAGTGATTATAATAATAATCATAATAATTCTCTTGGAACGTTTGTTCTGTTTATTGAAGTGATTTGTGAAATTATGCCCTCTCCACTCTCCAATATCAAGATCATGCCGGCTTGCCGCATGAAGGCTGTCATTCTTGGCTTATTGCATCTGCTTAGAACACATGATTCTTGGACCCAATGATCACTTACCCCAGGGTGTGGGAAGTGATGATTAGTTGGAGACAAAGTGCGATCACCATTTCCTTTGGCGAAAATAATCATGATAATAATGTGGATTGATGAATTCATCACTGAATCATGTCGGTTCGCCGCACTGAGGCAAAGATATCACGCGAGAAATGTCATTGGTGTAGTGATTGGTCAATGGATGATGCTGACAAGCCCTCCAAATGAATCGAAGCTTTGGAGACAGGGTCTGACCATCAAAACCTTCAAAGCGAAATAGTTTAATTTTGATAGGAATACAGGGATAGTGTCCAACATTTCAGTCATTTGGTGAGTTGCGGCATGACTTACCTGAGAAACTAACTACAAAACGGATTAGCATCTCAGGCATACCTGGAAGTAAGAATCGTACACTTTCACCGGCCGTGAATCTATGAGTCTCGCCCTCCATAGATCATATATTTGAATTAGTACAACAAAAGGTGTAGGCACCCTCAATCAACCACCTTGGAACAGGGGTCAACGGCGAAGCGGAGACAATCGAAGCAGGTGGGCATCCTATCACATCACGCCACTAGAGCCTCAATAACTGAATCCTATAGTTGTCAAAGTTCTCACAGAACATCAGGAAGTTGCGGTTCGGAATATTGAACTCCGGGTGCGCAAGATGGAGGCTAAAATCAAGTTGTTCAATGTCTGATGGACTACAGCGTGGCTATCAGCCTTTCACATTCACTGTGCGGCAAATTGCTGCCAAACTACGACGTACTCATCACACCTTGATTGATGCTACTGACCACCAAATAGTACTTCCTTGATAGTATACGAATGCTGATGACTGCAGGAAAGTTATTGGTTTGGCAAGCGGAAAGTCGCGGAAAGTTTCAAATTTTGCGAAACCTTCTCACTTATTTCGAGTGTTTATCATTTTGAAAGTTGCTGGGGCACCATGTCAATAAACAATGTAATCATTCAATATTCAAATTGATAACTGTTGTCCTGGCTTCACAATTTCGTTAATAACCATCAATTAAGTGTTTTGATGAAAGACGATTCGTTTTCGGTTACTTTAACTTTGAGTTTTGTTTGAAAGTAAATAAACAAGAATGAAAAACTCAAAGGAAATTCTAATTTGAAATTCTCGTCGGTGAAAATTACAGTATTTATATTCGGAACACAATTTACACACCAGCTACACACCAGCGCTAAACTATTTTTTCAGCATCCGTTAGACCCCGAAGAAAAATATCTGATATTCATG